GAGGAGGGGGCCAGGGCTCGGATGATTCCGCCCCTCCAGCGAGGCGGGCCGAACGGGGTGGCCTGGCCAAGGGCGGGGCGAGCGCCGAACCGGAACTGGCGATGCAGATCGGCGTCGGGCGCGCCCCTCCCGCGGCGCGCCGACGCGCTCGGCGGCGGGGCCGGGCACGCTGGGCCCCGACTTTGCTCGGGGAGGGGAGGCTTCGCCTGCGGCATCGTCGCTGCATCCTGCGCCTGCCCTGATCCTGCCACTTCTTTCTTCTCCACCAGCACGTCGGGCGCGCAGCCGGTCGACCGTTTGGCGTTGCCAGGGGGGCAGGCGCGCGGAAGCGAGACGGCTCGCGCGGTGCCGGTGAAGGAGTGGCAACCGCGGATGCGCCTCCCGAAAGGCAGACAGCCCCACGGCAGCGTCCGAGACGAGGAGGTCCGGGCACTGGGCGACGTCGTTGACCAGGGAGACTCGCCGGCGACTGGCCCGACCCCTTGGGCACCAAAGGGGAGGGCAGGGATGCCTCGAGGAAAACCCGGGGAAGCTGAGGCCCCACTCCCCCGGGCCCACACCCGCCCCCGTTGGAAGCGCCCCCGTTCTTCTTCTTGTCGCCCTTCTTGGGGCCCTCCTTGTCCTTGGCCTTTGCGGCCAGCTCCTCGCGCAGCAGCTGGCGCTGCTTGAGGATCCGCCCCCTGCTCCGCCAGCGTCGCCGCGCAGGCCGTGATCTCGCGCGTCGCCAACCCACCGCCCTCGCCCAGGGCGCGCTCCGTCATCTTGCCCAGCCCCTGGAACGACGGCGCCCCGGGGTTCAAGCGCCCAGCCCGCTCGATCTGCAGCGCGCGCCTCGAGAGCAGCTCGAGGCTCACCAGGTTGCTCGCGCCCAGGCAGTCGCAGCCCAGGGCCAGCGCTGGCACCTGGCAGTGGATCCGATGCTCCAGCGCGACCCCGCTCTCGGCGTGCACCCCCGACTGCCGCACCCAGTGGGCGCGGTAGGTGAACAGCGTGAGCCCGAGCGCCGCAATCCCGCGGACGAGCTCGACCACCGCCCGAGGCCCGGAGTGGGGCCAGTCGGAGGCCTTCGCCAGGTCCAGCGGCCGGAAATGGTCGGCGGCCTGCGAGAGCGGCACGAGGCCGGGCCCGAAGTCGCCGCCCCGCGCGGGGAGCAGGCGGCGGTCCCGACCGGTGCCGCTCTGCTTGTCGCGCTCCCAGTTGGCGTACTCGGCACTGGGCACCAGCTCCGCGAACAGCCAGCGCCGCGGCTCGCCCCAGCTGACGAGCGCCACGGCGCCCTTCACGACGCCCGCGCTCGCCACCTCGTCCGACGGCACCTCCTGCCCGCACTCGGGTGCGCTGGTGTCCGCAATCCGCCACGACACCCCGCTGCCTGCCGCCGGAGCCCCGGGGATGCCCTTCGCGCCCATGATGACCGCCAGCCGCGTCGCGGCAGCATGATGGCCCACCAGCTCGCCATCCGTGGGCGCGGAGATCATTGAGCAGTAGCCCACCACGCGCGGCGGCACCGACGTCCGCCGCGCCAAGGGGATCAGCTCGTACTCTCCGAGGTCCATGACCTCGAGCGTGCCGCCTGGGCCGAGGGCGACCCACCGCGACTTTTTGATGCGCCTCAGCAGCAGCCGATGCTGCCATGTCTCTGGGTAGCCCTCGACGGCCGCGAGCACCTGTGGCTCGTCCACGTCCAGCCCCGTGGCCATCACCGCCGAACCTCCTGAGCGGCAAGGACTGCCAGCAGCTCAGGTGAGGGCTTGGCGCGAGGGCGCGCCGCGCCCGCCGGCCACGCCGCAGCGGACTCGGCCCGGCGCGGGCCCTCGGGAGGCGCGGCCGCCCGCCGCCAGCAGCAGCAGCAGCAGCGCGCCCCCGCCCAGCAGAGGCCGAGGAGCACCAGGAGCGCCACCGCGAGCAGCGCGATGACCCCCAGCAGCAGTGCCGCCGCCAGCCGCCACCACTCCATGGCAGCGCGCTGGCCGAGGAGCTGGCGCAGCTCCTCGTCGCGCGCGCAGACTGGGCAGCCCGGGCACGCGCACTCGCCGACGTCGGGTTCCTCTTCCGCCCACTCGGCGTGAGAGCCCGCCACGGGCGGGGCGCACGCCGTGGGCCAGCCCCCGAGCGCGCAGTGACCAGCCCAGCCAAGCGCCGCCGCCAGGACCGAGGTCTGGGGCCCCCAACCTTGGTCCATACGCCGCCGCGCGAGGCCCGGGAGCTGAAGCCACAGCGGCTATGGACCACCCCCTCCCGCAAAGGAAAGACAGTCGTCGACAGCACATGTACCAACATTGATGTATATACATCTAGCACTGGAAATATGCATAAGCATGTACAAATATCTACTAGAACCACGCGCGCGCTTCGCGCGCGCTTAGGTTCTAGTCCAGCCCATGGCACTGTGATGAAACGGAGGTCGGGGGTTCCAGGCGACTCGCAATCGGAGAAGAGTTGTGTCCGTCATGGGCCGGTTATGGGATGTCGCAGGGCTCCCTTGGGCTGGCTTTGGGGCTTTTCAGGCGCTCTTGTGGGGGGGGAGGTGTTTGTGGCCCCGATGGCGCCGTCCAGGGTTGCCTCTTCGTTGTCACGACGCGCAGGTCTTGGCTTGTGGGTTCGTCGAGGAGATCGCTGAACAGGCTTGGGGCATTGCCTGGCTTTAGGATGCAATGTCGAGGCCGTAGTTTGCTGGTCTTTGGATGTCGTCACATGTTCTTGGCTTGTCTTGCCGAACATGTGCGGGAGGGGCGAGGAACGAAAACTGCCCTGAAATAGAATGCACGCGCTGCCACGCCAGCTGGCGGAGCACGTGCAGAAGAAACCAAGAGGACGGAGAACAAACTGCCTTAACACATAATGCACGCGCTGTCACGCCGGACGGTGGAGCACTTGCACGAAGATTGAAGAAAGACGGACGAAGGAGGAACGCAGCCGTGCTATAAAATGCACGCGCTGACACGCCAACTGGCGGAGCATGTGCAGGACGAAGGAACGGTAACGGAGCACGGAGAGAAAGCCGCCTTGAACCGGCGTGCACGCGCTGTCACGCCGGCTGGCGGAGCACGTGCAGGCGGGACGAGGAAAGACAGACAGGAGGCAGAAAGACATATAGAAGAAACAGGAACTCTCTTGAGCCGTCTCGGGTCCTGCTGGGACGTGCCCAGGCCGTTTTCGTGTTGTCTCCTCACGCTGTGATAGCACACCAACCATGTTGGGGCATCTTGGGGCCCAGGTCTCTTTCGAAGTCTCTCGGAGCCCAGTTGGAGCCTCTTCGGAGTCTCCTGGAGGCTTCCCGGAGCCCTCCTGGGGTCTCTTGGGGGCCTCCTTGTGTTTACTTTTGGGCCTCCCAGGGGCCTCTTTCGGCCTGCCCTGTTGGGCACGTATAGGCGGCCTCGGGGGTCATTTTTGGGCCGAGGGTTCCAAATAGCAGCTCGTATTACCCCTCCATCCTGGGGCCCTCTTGGGCCGTCTTCGGGTTGTCTTGGTCCATCTTGGGGCCCTCTTGAGCCGTCTAGGGGCACTCTTGAGAGCCTCATGGGCAGTCTGTGGGCGTTTTTGGAGACCTCTGGGGTTGTCTTTGACTGTGTTAAAACTTAAAAGCGAATATACTAAAAAGTGCGAGTTTTCCTGAGGGGATGGAGCACTCTTGCGGGTCCTCTTGGATTGGTCTTGGATCGTCGCGGACGCCTCCCCTCTAGAGCCGCCTTGACGGCGGTCTGGGGAACCTCTTGACCCGTCTGGGAGCGTTGGAAGCCCGAAATCCGTCAAACAACTAAAGGAACATATGAAATTTGGCCTCTCGGACCACTCGTCGGGCTGCTGTTTTGAACCTTCTTGGGCCGTCTGGAACCTCTGGAAGCCGTCTTCAGGGCAGCTCGAGGCAATCTTGGTCCGTCGGGACGGCTGTCTGATCGGCCTGGGACCTGTTTGGCGGCCCCCAACAGCGGGCCCTGGTCCCGAAGAGAGAGGTGCATGGGCAGGAGAAGTAAGCGCCGCCGCTGCCGCCGCCAGGCGCTGTGAAACTATGAAGCCACCCGGCGTCGCCAGTTCCACGGGCAGGTGGTCTCTAAAAATCTGTTCGTGCAAGCCCTTCTCGCCAAATTTTCGGGCCCCGGGCCTGCTCCCCCGGCCCCAGCGACAACGGAGGGCGCATGAAGCCTCTCAGAAACCCGTTGGGGCCCTCTTGGGGGTCTCCTGGGGGCTTCCTGGGAAACTCGGGGGGCCTCTTGGAAGCCTCTTGGGGAGGCCTCTGGAGGCCCTTGGAGGCCTGCCGCGGGCGTCTTGGGGGCCTCTTTGGGCCTCTTGGAGTCTCTTAGGGGCCTCTTGGGGACCTCCTGGGGCGGGGGCTGGAAGGTTCAGTTGGGTGTCCCGTCTTGGGCCCCTCTAGGGGCCCTTTGGGGACGCGTTTGGGCCGTCCTGGGCGCCTCTTGGACTGTCCGGGGCCCCTCTGGGGCCGTCTTGGGGCTCTCTCGTAGGCTTCGTGGGCCGTCTTGGGGCGGTCTATGGAGAGTCGGAGGTCGTAAAGGACGGTACGGTGGCCAAAAAATAGAATATGGTAAAAATGTACGTTTGACGAAGGGTGCGGGGCTATTTTTGCTTCCTGGGGCCGTCAGGGGGGATCTCTTGGAGGGGTCTTCGAGCGTCTTGGAGGCGTCTGGGGCGGTCTGGGGCGGTTCGAGACGCCTCTTGAGCCGCCGGAGACCGCTGAAGGTTGTCTTCAGGGTGGCTGTGGGCGGCCTGGGGCCGCCTGGACGGCTGTTTGGGCGCTCCGGGGGCCGACCTGGGGCCCGCTGGGGAGCGGGCTGGGCCCGACGTCCCCCCGTTTGTGGTCGGGGCTGCGGCCCTGGGCCCCCCGGGCCCGGTGCGGCGTCATATGTATATATGCATATATCTAGAACGAGAGGGAGACCGAAATAAATAACGAGACAAATAACGCAGTAACGAAATTAAAAAACGAAGGGAAGAGAGAGAGAGAGAGAGAGGGCACTCATCTACATAGTGTGTCGAATTACGCCATTTATTGTTGTCATCCCCTTCCAATCCCAAACGTATTCACCTGCTTCTACTCTCAACCCTGCGCTGGCCCACCTCTCTGGCACATGAGACTTTTCCACGGCGCTCAAAGCAACTGGTGTCAGCACGTCGCTAATCCTGCAACACCGAAGATGCACTCTCTTCGTCGCCATCCATGCGAATGCGTTAGAGATCCGCCGAACCCGTTGGGCCTAAGGGGACATATACAATGCGTTACGAGGCGCCATGGGTCTCATCAGCTACAAACTTTGAAGTGACGAAAGATGTGCGACAAGATGTGACATTTGAAACATACAGCACGCCACGACTTCGAGGCTTGAAAACAATCCAAAATTTTACTCCTCCGCAAGCAATCGGCCAAACGCATTTTAACCGCAGCTCGTTCCACCTACAGTGGATATCGGCGGATCGCCCGCACTTCAGAACTTCGCTCCGAGGTCTGCTAGCCGGCGATCCACCTCCCAGCAATTCCCGAGCAGGGTACAACTGAAGGAGCGCCCATCAGTCAGGGTTCTTCCTGGATTCGCCTTCTACAAACTCCTGGCCAGAACCCAAAGCGAAACCTCCCCGATCAGAACCCAAAGGGATCTCTGAACATCTGTCTTAGCAGCGTAGGGCCAGAGACACAACACGCTGAGACGGGGCTCAGGCGTGGCCCACTCTTGGAAATCTGAATCCAAGAATCTTGACATCCCAGACAAGCACTGCCCGTATAATTTCAACTCGCGGTCCCCAGTTTCCCATGCAGAGTCGTTGCTTGACGGTCCTGGGGCCCGACGAGGACCCCCAGAGGCCGCAAAGTGCTAAAAACCTGTCGCCGCGATCTTGCTCACTAGACAAACGAGTTCCACTACTCGCAAAGTAACGCTACTCGCGAAGAAATGACATGGACCCGCCGCGGTGGACCTACGACGCACTATATCGATACAAGCATGTGTAGTTGTTTCGGGCGGTTGCGAGTACACAGGCGCTGTGCGAATACGTAGTGGAGCGCGCTCGGTGACCCGCGACGCGAACATGTCTCGGACCTCGTGGAGAAGCGCCCTACGCCAGTTGGGGGCCTTCCCTCTGCCGGAACCGCCCCCGCTCCACCGCCCACAGGCCGAGGACCGAGAAGGCCGGCCCCTCGACTCCTCGGGTCGAGGAGGAGGGCGGCCTCTCGGCTCTCTCGTGGCGCGGCCCTGTCTGGACCGTCCCGAAGGTGCTCGGCGCACCTGGGGCAGCCGCCCGCACGGCGGCCCACCTCCTGAGGGGCGATTCGTCGCGGGGGGGCGTATCGAGCCCGCATAGGCGATACGTCGCCGACCCAGACATGCTCCCGTCGTGAAGGAAATCACGACGGCATTTTTTTGGCTCGTTTCGCCCTCAAGAGGCCCTCGCCGGGCATCGGGACCGTCAAAAGTGGCCCTGAAAGGGTCGGGGCTTCCTGGAACCGCGCGTTGAAAAAATCGAAGCATTGCATGTTTCTGTCGCCGATGGGTCGGCGATAGCGAATCCGCGCGGTCCCAAGCGGGGTGGGACTGTCGGGCCCGTATCTGGCGATCAACGAGCGATTGGGGGTCGATGCGTCTCCCCCCTCTCCCCCCTCCAGCCCCCCCCCCCATCGTTGCCCCTGATTGGCGGCGCGATCAAGGGGTAGGCGGAAGGGAGGAAGGCTTCTTACAGTTAGGCGGACAATTCAGTAGTGTAAATTCGGACATGCTTTACGAGGGGCGGTGGCTTCAGCAGCCATCTCTCTTGAAGGCATGCGCTGCTGGAGCCACTTTCCCTTGTAAAAGTAAAACGCTGGAGCCACACCCGCTTAGGGCTTGAAAAGTACAGATACTTACGCGGGCCGATAGATTTTCCTCTTGATCCCGAAATGTCGGAAGCGCGGTGCCGTTCAAGTGATTGGGTGGATCGCTTGCTTCGAATAGGGGCGTGCCGCATGCTACGGGAGGAGATGCGGGAGTTGGCTGGGCCCGCTGTGACTTTCGAGTAACCCTACAAGATGGCAGTGGCTTGTGTGATGGCCACGCCCGCTGTGGCGCTCGATCACCCACATGTTGTGAAAGGAGTTCGGGGAAGTGGCTGGCTGGGCCCGCTGTGGCGCTCGAGCTTCCGACCTTGACACTTTGGCTGTCTTCGTCCTCCTCGCCCTCCCTCCTCCTCCTGATCCTCTTCCTACTTCTCCTCCTCCCCCTCCCTCCTCCTGCCATCTCCCCCCTCCTGAATGCTCCCTCCGCCTCACTCCTTCTGCCTCTCCCTCCTCCTCCTCCACCTCCTCTTCCCTCCTCCCTCCTCTCCCCCTCCTCCCTCATTTGTTCTCCCATATCCCCCTCCCACCTCCGTCCCCATCTCTCCTCCTCTCCCCTCCCCTTGCCTCCTGCTTCCCCCCCCCCTCTTCACCTAGTCACCTAGGAAAATCTCTCCCCCGTAGAATTATAGCATTGGTATGCAGAGCCACAGCTGAATGGATAACATGATGTCTCACGTGCAGTGCCCCATATATCAGTTTCCTGTGGGCTTTTGCGATACAGTCTGATTATAAAACTATTCCAACAAAATATACGGATCCAGGTTTTTTTTCACACACGGGAAATTGGATCCACGCTACACAGAAATAGGATCCACGACGCTGTCACACACCCAGAAAAAGGATCCAGTGTGATCCATTGGTGTTGTCACATTTTTACTCGAATGGGAACAAACTGTCGGCCTGAGGGTGTAGGTTGGGGGAGGGGTGGGACGGCCCCCGGAGCGGGAGTCCTAGAATTGTAGCAACGCCCCGCTCCCAAAACGGGGCCAGATCGCATGCGCTGGTGCGCGCGCGGTTTGTCGGTCCGTCGGTGAAGTCGTCGGTCGGTCGTTCGTCGTCGGTCGTTGTCGTCTCCGTCAGCTTGTCGGTCCGTCGTCGTCGGTCGTGCCCAAAACATGACGCATGTCCCACAACGCCTCCGGTTTTTGCCTATGCACTTTAGACTTGTACTACCAACAATATTCACCTGACTGGCTAATTCGGCGGCAATTTAGTGGTGGAAATTCGGACATGCTTTACGAAGGGCGGTGGCTTCAGCAACTCATGCCTACAAGACATCTGGGCTGGAGCCCATTTTGCGCATGAGCTGCTGGAGCCACCGTCCCTCGTTCAAACTGGGTTCTGGAATTCATGCCTTGAGCTGCTGGAGCCACCTTCCTTCCTCCGTAAGAAATCCGGTGTTGGAGTCCATCTCTCTTGAATGCATGTGCTGCTGGAACCACTTTCCCTAGTAAAGTAAAACGCTGGAGCCACACCCCGCTTAGGGTTTGAAAAGTATAGATACTGACGCTGGCCGATATATTTTCCTCTTGATCCCGAAATGTCGGAACCGCCGTGCCGTTCAAGTGATCGGGTGGGTCACTCGATTCGAATCGGGGCGTGCCACTTGCTACGGGAGGAGATGCGGGAATTGGCAGCGCCCGCTGTGGCGTTCGAGCAACCCTACCAGATGGGAATGGCTTATGTGATGGCCACGCCCGCTGTGGCGCTCGAGCACCCACACGTGATGGTAGGGGTAAGGGAAATAGCTGGGCCCGCTGTGGCGCTCGAGCTTCCGATCTTGACACTTTGGCTGTCTTCGTCCTCCTCGTCCTCCCTCGTCCTCTTCTTCCTCTTCCTACTCGTTCTCCTCCCCCTCCCTCCTCCCGACTTCTCCCCCCTCCTGCTTCCTCCCTCCGCCTCCCTCGTTCCTCCTCCTCCTCCTCCTCCTCCTCCTCCTCCTCCTCGTCCTCCTCCTCCTCGCGTTGCAGTGTCAGCCTGCTCGGGAAAGGAGTCACCCCAAATGTTCCGCGAGCTCGCCCATCCTTTTCGAGAAGCCAATCCCGCTGGCCCAGCTGGCGACAGAATTGGTCGAGACGAGCTCCACTGCATAGTGCAGTGCAGTAGGCAGCTCACAGACAAGCGGGATCTCCCCCAATCTGCGTGCTGGTCCTCCTCCTCCTCCTCCCTCCTCCTCCTCCTCCTCCTCCTCCTCCCTCCTCCCTCCTCCCTCCTTCCTCCTCCCTGTTCCCTCCTCCCTCGTCCCTCCTTCCATCTCCCTCCCCCTCCCCCTCTCCCTCCCTCTCCTCCCTCATTTGTCCTCCTACTTCCCCCTCCCACCTCAGTCCCCCTCTTTCCTCCTCGCCCCTCCCCTTCCCTCCTCCTTCCTCCCCTCTTTTCACCCTACGTAGGGAAATCCGTTCCCCGTAGAGTCATAGTATTGGTGTGTAGAGCCACAGCTCCGTGGATAGCATGATGCCCTACGTGCAGTGTCTCGTGGATCAAATTTCCTGTGGGTTCAAGAGGTGAATTACGATTATCTATTTATTCCAGCAAAATAAACGCAACTATTGGTTTTTCACACACGGGGAACTGGATCTGCGCAACACAGACATGGGATCTACGAAACTGTCACACACCCAGGAAAGGATCTAATTTGATCCATTAGTGTAGTCATCTTTCTGTGCACTGTTTTTGCAACCAGGAGAACCTATGCTGTCACGAGACTTGCGACCGAGCCGTCTCTGGGGCCCGAGCCGGCAGAAGGATTATTCGGGGAAAGCCCCCCACTGTGAGAGTGCAAGAAAGAGGAGGAGGAGGAGAGGAGGAGGAGGTAAAAGCTTGAGCAAAAACGGTGACGGACCCACGTCCGTCCCCTGTCGGCTTGCTGACTTCTGCACAACGTGTTTAATTACAAACCGCCAGTGTGCACTGTTTTTGCAACCGGGAGAACCTATGCTGTCACGAGACTTGCGACCGAGCCGTCTCTGGGGCCCGAGTCGGCAGAAGGATTATTCGGGGAAAGCCCCCCACAGCCCATTCATGTTACTGGCCATGCCGCAATCACTCACATTCTCACAAAGTAAAAGTTAAATAAGCACCTGCAATTCAGAGCACGAGATAATTAAAGCAACAACCTCCCTACGTGTGCGTGCTCGATACTATCGGCTGCAGTGATCAACCATCGAGCGCCCGCTTCCGCCAGCCCCCGCGGGTAGGCCTGAGCCTGAGCGGCCCGCCGGCTACCT